TACAAAGCCGCAAATGCTAGCTGAATCGTTGTTATCGGAAACATCTTTGTGGGTGTATTTTGGCGACATTCAGTTGAAGAGCAAGTGACAGCCGCAAACAAGAAAAAAAAAACACCCAAAATTAAACTCATGCACAGCTGTCAAGCGGGTGGTTAACAATTGCATTGGAGCGCAAAAAGCCTTCAATACTGTAATTATGACAAATATGTGTGTGTGTGTACTCTTACATACATACTTATGTATGTACATAGTCATGTATGGCGGAGTAGCCTTGAGAACGCAAACGCTTTTTTAATTCAATGCCTACAGCAAATGCACATGCCTAACTATATTCATATGTATGTATGTATGTATGTATGTATGTATATACGCCGGAAAAATTAACAGCTCTAATTGCATGGACGAACTTTTCTTTGCAGGCTTGAATGAAAAATAGTCTTTTTTCGATTAATCTTTCTCGTGTTCGTTAACCAAGTGCTCTGACTGCAAATGAAGCCATGCCAAATAGTTTTCCAGCTGAAATTATATAATACAGTTGTATTCCTTTATAACGAAACTGTAAATATTTTCAGCGCATAAAAGAAGAAGAAAAAATTTTTTTATTAAATTTAAAAAAAAAATACTAAATCTTTTGCAAAAAAATTTAAGCTACTAACAATGAAAATCTATGGATAAATCATATATGTAATGGCAGTATGCTAACTTCTCAATGTGTAAGCATTCCGAAATCAAAGGAAGACAGTCTAGTACCGTTTTTGGGAATGTATTCTGTACGTGAGTGCCGTTTTTGTGTATGTGTTGTGTATATGTTTATTTATAAACTTATGTATTCCTTTTCTTTCGTACGTGTTTACTGATACTAGTGAACCCGCATGGCGTTAAAATGCTCAAAACTTTATTTCAAAAACTTAAAAAATAGTCCAAATGTTAGTCAGAGTTATAAGAGATCCGCGTGCTAGTGAAGGGCATTCAGGCATAGTGCATGTTTTTAATTTCATCAAATTTCAAATCACCCTATACCGATGAAAAATGTTCTTAATTAAAAAAAAAAAAATAAAAACTTTACTACACATCTACAGGTAAGGTCTTTAATTCGACCTCTCATTTTTGAAATTCCCTTTCAAAAGTATTCCCAAACTAAAAGCTTCTTAAATCTCTTTCGTCTGACATTGTGATAAACATGTATTTCAATAAACTGATGAACTAATTTGATTTTGATTGTTCGAACAAATGGCAACCCTCCTTAATAAATGAATAATTTGAATGTATATTTTTAAACACGTGGCAACCCTTTTTAAACATTCCAAATGGTCAAACTAAACACTTCTTTTGTTTGGCTATGGTATTTTTATATTTCATATACTTTCAAACAGGTGGCAGCCCTCTTCAAAAGTATTTTCAAGCTTAATACTTGTTAACTCTCCTTCGCCAGACATTGCGATACATATTTAAATTAACTGATGAATTAAGTTGAATTTGATTTTTTAAACATGTGGCAACTCCGCTAAGTGCAGTTCAGAAATAAAAGTTTTTCAAACCCTCTTCCATTGATACCCATATTTTAATAATTCATTAAACTTATTAAATAATTTAAATTTAAGTTTCTAAACAGGTGGCAGCCCTCTCCCAACACCTCAAAAATAAAATTAGCGTTCAAACTAAAGATTTTTTAACACTTCTTCGTTTGACATCCATATTTTAATGTTTCACATAACTTGTGTATAAGTAAACTAAATTCGACATTTCAAGCAGGTGGCAACCCTTTTCAAAATACTTTCAAACTACTACTTTTTGAAAGCTCTTTTGTTTGGTACCCATATGGTGATACATATTTTTCTTAGCTATTATGATTTTTTTAACAGGTGGCAACCCTCCTATAGTTCCGGTAAGAAACAAAGCTTTTTAAAAACCATTTAGATTGATATCCATTTTGTAATAATTGATTTATTTATTTTAATAATTTGAATATAATTTTTTAAAGGATGGCAACTCATTTCAAATAAGTAAAATCTTATTGCACATACAGTTCAAGCCTTTTAATTTGACACTTCATTTTGGAAAATCGAACGATTTTAGTAGTTTGTGTTTAATTGTTCAACAGGTGGCAACTCTTTTCCAAAAAATAAAACCTGTTTGCACATCTACAGGACAAACGCTTTAGTTTGACACCCCATTTTTTTTAAATCGAGCGAACGGTGCCGATCTTTTATTCTGAAAAAAAAAATGCCTTCGCGTATTATATATATACATAGATATCTGTACTGTAATATTTTCGGACGGTACTAGCTCTTACTGCCAATATAGGCGTATATAAACAAGTTGTAAATGGTCAAAATGTATGAAATAGGAGCAGGAAATAATGTTACTCATACGCCATGGCGTATGTTAAAGTTTGAGTTTCATTCGCAATGCAAACATTAAATAATCGATTTTTGTTTGTAATTTCAAGACCATACTCCCTAATTACCATAAAAAGGAAGGAAATTAGGGGGAATAGGGTCTGGAAATTTCAAACAAAAAATGGTTTCGATGTGCACCACAATGTACATAAATACTATGGTACTTGGATTTAGCGACATACAAATTAGTTAAGTATTTACTTAGTACTTAATGATTTACTAAAATGTAAATACCCAAATACTTTTGTACTCGTATTTGTTAGATACAATTTTGCCATCAGTGGTATGTTCCTTATGCAAATAGGCAGTTAACACAATCGATTACTAAGCACTGCATCCGCTGCTGTATAATTGAACGATTTTTGATGTAAATCTAATGTCAAACTGATACGTACATATGTATTTATAAACACACATACATATATATATATTTATATACTTATATGACAGTATCGAGAAAAAATTAACAACAACAAAGCAATTGAGACATGCACATGTTTTCGCTGCTGTTTAGTGACAGCGAAAAATACGAGTACCATCAGCATGGACGTGACACTTCCAACTAATTCGCATTGTAATTTGTGTGTGTTCATGCATGCAACAGTAGTATGCACGTACTTATGACACGTAGTATATGCACAAAGGCACAAAAATATACACAAATGTGCTAAGCTTGTCGCCATAATTTTTTTTATCATTCATATTATGCTTTTCTGAGCTGACACTGAGTAGCTGCCTCAACTGTACTGATTGAATTTCTTTGCTCTTCGTAAAT